AGTGAATCAATTATTCAATTCCTTTCAATTGTAAACAAATTTTACAGTTATGACAAATGCCAAATGTCGCTGTCAATAACAATTTGAACTAATTTTGAAGACATCAGATCTACTATTTCGTTTTACCTTAGTGTTCTGTGGTTATACCCAGAATAACTATTCCGCTGTCGATTTCACAATGTAGAACGCTCGAAAGGTTATACTTGGAATAAACTCAAGTATAAGTTATACTCAGAATAACTATTCTCCAATTTATACCTGGAATGTAGAACCGGCCCTTAAAGAATGATTATCATCTAGAAGGTGAAGACAACTATTTCAATGCTGTTACCCATCTCCAAACATACCCTGTTTGGACCAAAAACCACCAGATTAGTTTTTTTTGAGTTTATATTTAATGCATGATTTTTTGCCCAAGCAATCAATGATTTAATATCTTCATTAACAATCTCAATAGCACCTGCTCTGTCAACTGGGTAAAATGAGTGATAAATTTGTGTGTTATCGGCATAGAGATGAAATTTACAGGTATTCAGGGAGGTACCAATGTTGGTGGTGTATAAGGTAAATAGGATTGGACCTAAGATTGAGCCCTGAGGTACCCCTGACAAAATGTTTAAAAAATCAGAGCTTTTTTCGTCTACTTTGACGCTCTGTTTCCTGTGATGCAAGTATGACTTAACCATATTCAATGCATTCATGGAAAAGCCGATTGACTTCAAAATTGCACAGAGTAGTGAATGATTGAGAGTGTCGAATGCCTTAGAAAAATCGATCAAAACTAAAATGGTAACCCACATCTCTTTCTCTCAAAATGTCATCAGTTATTTTAAGGAGTGCTGTTTCACAGTTGTGAAATGGCCTAAATTCGGACCGAAAATCAGTTAAGATATTATTGTCAGAAATATAATTACCAAGCTGCATTTGGATAATGCGTTCTAACACTTTTGATAGAGTAGGCAGAATACTAATAGCTCTAAGATCCTTATATTCGGTTGGATTGTTACATTTAGGTATGGGTCTAATTAGTGCTTTTTTCCATTCATCTGGAAAATAATTAGTCGAGAGACAACAGTTCGTTATATGCGTTATATAAGGAATGATTAATATGCAACATTGAAGTAACATTTTTAAGTTTAAACTGTCTGAACCTAGAGCATTAGATTTAATTGTATATAACAATTTTTGCACTAGATCACAGATACTGGAGTAAAGTTGTATTGTTCCCGATTAGGTACAGTATTTAAATAATTGTCAATTGTATTTTGATTGTTAGATGTGAGATGCATGATGTATAGTATGATTAATCTCATAGGGTTCTTTTAATGTTTCTGGAATGGTGTGTTCATTCTTACCATATTAATAAGTTGTAAATTTTTCCAAGTATTTTTTATCCACCCACATGAAGTTTGTGTTGAAAGAAAGCTTTTTTTTCATTCTCACATGCTAATGTTGTGTAATTTCTAATCATTTTATAGAAGGTAAGATGAGCTAGTTCCTTAGTTTTCTGCCACTTTTTTTTAGCCTGATCTCTTAGTGACATAAGAAGTTTCACATTATCTGTTAGTCAAGGATTATAATTTTTAGTTACTTTAATCTTTTTAAAAGGAGCATGGTTGTCAAAGAGAGCTACAATGGAGCTGCTTCAGAATTTTACTTTGTCATTAATGTTTTCAATGTGATATGATGTTATCATTACATACTTCATGATGGTAAATTTTTCATGAATAGAAACTGGAATTTTTTTGAAAAAAGGAGCCAAGGCTGTCTCCCAGTCTTTTATAATGGATCGGTCCATTAACATCTCGAAGTTGGAAGGGATCTGTCTTGATGTTACAATGGCTTCTAACCAAGGTTTTGCAGTTCCAATCTTTTCTGTTTTCTTAATACTAGAGCGCACTATCCCAAAGTTCCTGTCACACTGTGAAAAAGAATGGCCTCTAACAGGATAAAGGTGTGTTATTGTAACCTTACGAATTCTTGAAAGCCAAGAACAAAACTTAAGTAAAGTTGCATTCCTGTTTTGGCCACCTGTTTCGTCTGATAATAGAACTATATTTTTTACATCAGGATACTTAACAAAAATTTTTTTTAAACAGTGGAACAAAAATGACACAACTAAATTGGCATTCTTATTTGCCTGTGTTTCCATAAAACAATAGAAATAGGATGAATCATCTTTGTGATTGTGAATATTAAAAGCATATAGCCACAACATTCTTTTGTAAAACTGGCTGTTTACGTTGATTTGACAGTAGCACAGAATAATAAACAATCAGAATGCCCACTCTCAGATGCCGTCTTTGAAGTTTTTCAGAAATATAAACATTATTTGTAATTGATCACTAACGGTATTGTCCACATTGTAGCTGTGGCTTATTACTTTCTACATATCTTATCGGGCCCTACTGAAGTGTAATTAGTCAAATTCTTCGGAAATTATTACGCTCAAAAACTTTATTCTTATCTGGTCAAAAATGCCTTCTCAGGTTTCTCATAAACGATATATTCAGTATCGTCGTGTACGACAGCACGTTCACGTATATTTTTTATATTTTTGTGCAAACAGTAGTGTTGTGTTTTAGTTAAGTTTGAGTTGACAGTAGAAATAAGTTGTAAATACATTAAAGATGGCTTTTTGGCGACCATTTGAATGTGATACCAACGAGAATACTAGCGACAATCCAACGGACGATTTAGGTATGTAAATTCTTATTTAAAACAAGTTTAATAATTAGTTGTATAGGGATGCTCGGTCATAATATTCACCCCTAATCTACTTTTTTTAACAATTAAAAGTAAAAACATTTCTATTAGATCCAACACAAATGAATTGGGAATTTGTAAATAAGGACTTATATATTCAAGCGCAAAGGATTATTCTAAATATATATTCCTGTTTAAAAGGCGAAAATATTACACTTTCGGAAAATAATATTGTGTTATAGATGTGTGAACTTACCAAACTTGCGCATACGACAGTTTTACGTGTTATTGCAGCTGGGGATGTAAGTGATCATTCTGTTAAACGTCAAAGAGTTGGACAAAACCTTAAAAAGACTGATAAGGCCACTTAAGACGTTATTTGTCGCTATGTCTACGAATTTTATCAGGACAACAAAGTTCTAACGTTGGAAATGCTTCAGGACAAGTTAAAAATATATCCCGATTATGCATATAAATCCCTTGATACATTGATGCGTGTTTTAATAGAATGCGGATTTAGTTATAAAAATTAGACAAGAGAATGGTAATTATGGAATCTACAAGGATTGTGATACAGAGGCAACATTATTTACGTAAAATAAAGGAATATCGAGATGACAATAGAGACATTGTGTATCTTGATGAAACGTGGTTTGACACCCATGATGTAGTTCAATATGGCTGGATGGATGATAGCAAAAAGTGCTGCTTGAGTACTCCTTGTTCGAGAGAAAAAAGAATTATAATTCTGCATGCTGGAACTAAGAGCGGGTTTGTACCTAATGCCTTGTTATTATCGGCCAAAAACATTAAACAGTCATCAGCTGATTATCATGAGGATATGACGGCTGAACTTTTCGAAAAATGGGCAACGGAACAGCTTTTACCGAATATTAAAACAAATTCCGTGATAGTAATGGACAATGCGTCATACTATTCTAGACTCTACACCAAAATTCCAAATACTAGCTCCAAGAAGACTTCCACAACTTGTCAAAAATATGTTCTGTGTACCGTTGTAAATGTGATCTCTCCATTCATCTATAACCTAAGAGACAATTTGACTGGAAGACGAATTGGCCGATTTCATGTATCTTTCAAAAATAAGCTCTTTAAACCGATGAAACTTACAGATCACATTCATGATTATTTTTTACCAAAAAAAGGGATCAACTTTGTTTTGAGCGTAACTTGCTTACATTTGATGCTAGAAACTTTTTTTAAAAATCAAAAATAAAGATTTCTTTAAACAAATTAAAAAAATAAAGTAAAAAAACATTTTTTTGATTATTTCACATTGAATTATTTGATATGGAATTTGACGAATCGGTATGAATTTATTTTTCATTAGCTATAACTCTGCTTTTGCTGGGTATACAGACTTCATACATACACCATTGTTTTCACTTTTTTATAAACTGTATTTTTGCTACGAACATTTTTTCCATAAAATACTTACCTTTTGAGATATTTGCGAGAAACCGTCCAAAGCCGTGGTATTTTTGTTGAAAAATGAATATATTCACTTGCAAAGAACTCGAAAACTATTGATTTAGTAAAAACCTCTATGGAACAAAAGTTGCCTAGAATTAGTCAGTTTATCCACGTCCGGACTTATTTTGGATGTATATCTTTTCACCCCCGAGAAGGGGTGGTACCCACCCCCCAGGGCAAAAATACACATCGGCACAATATCACTTTTTTTCTTTGACACGTTAGCTATATGTCAATGCCAAATTTCATGTCAATTCCAGTGGTTCTTTAAAATTTAGAGGTTTTTACAATATTTTACCGTTAGTGAATAGACTATGTGTATTAACTTTTAATCATCTTTGGTGTCAAGTTCATAAAGAAATGTGAATAATTAAAAATATTATTTAAAAAGTAAATCATAATTTATGCAGTAATCCTTAGTACTTTTGATACTTTGTAAATATTAAATAGTATCAAAAAATTTACCAGACAGTCAGTGGCCAGGCGGGGTTTTGGTGGTCAAACCCCCCCCCCCCCCCCCCAGGACCCTCTTCCGACACTGTTATTAACAAATTTTAAGGACTTAAAATGGTGGAGGTATTGTAAAAAAAATTCGGTGCCCAACCAAACCCCCCCCCACTGGACAATTCTAGGTGCGCTACTGCAGACAGTATGTATTATGGTAATGTTATAGCAACAAATGGATAACATATTGCAAACTGTTTCAGTCAATTTTATTCAACAGTTTATTCGCCCAATCAAATATTAATAACTTGGAAGTAAAGGAAAACAGCAATCATTTTATACCTAACTTTTCAATATCAATGAAAGCTATAAAAGTAAGTTCCTTCTACATCTATATTTTTATTATTTCTCTCACCTGAGTTATCCTCTTTTGATTCATTATTCAAGTGTTCAGGATCTAGGGATGTAAATTGCTGATTCTCTATGTCTCCTTGGCCATTTTCAACAAACTCATCCTTAATTTTAGCTCTTTGTCCGATTGCTAATAAATAAATACAAATTACATTAAATTATTTAACATTATTTTTATTAATTGCCTTACCCGAATTAACTTCATTTTCATTCTTTAACTCTCCGAGGTCTATGGATGTAGATAGCTGACTCTCTATATATTCTTGGGTAGTTTGAGCAAATTCTTTCTTAATTTCAGGTTTTACTTCCATTGCTAATAAATACCAATTGTATAACATTGTTTAACACTAATTTTTATTACTGGTCTTACCTGAGTTACATTCATCTGGTTCATTTTTTAAGTGTTCCACATCTATTGACTGACTCTCTATATATTTTTGGTTACATTCAACAAACTCTTCCTTAGCTTCAACTTTAAATTCCATATTTAACATATATAAACTGAATAAATATATTGAAGTAAAAGCATGGAGTTAATTCGATGGGTAAAAGCACTGCACCCTGCGGTAAAAGGGTAAAAGTATATAGAACAGAACAGCAACAGACTACAGAACACAGTATAGACAACAACCTACAGAACTACAGAGTAGATAGAGAACGGTTAAGTGTTAAGTTAGATTAGAGATAGCTGTTGTTAGCTAGATCGACAAATTGTTCGGTGGCTAGATCGGCTTGCTAGTAGTAGGACCACCGGACAACCGTTGTTCGGTGATATCAGTGTTTACGATTGCACAAAAATTATTAACGAATCAAATAAATAATGTGATCTGAGTTCTGACAACAACAAACACAAAATGTCAAAATGATCGTCCCGTCCAACGACGTTAAAACATGAAATTAAACATGGCCGCTGATAATGCGCAAACCAGATGCGTGAACAACATACGCCTACGCCGAGTCGAGTGCACCTTCGGGTTGTTCGGTGGTACGTAAGACATGTTCGGTGGTTAGGTCGTTAGGTCGATTCAAACACATCAGTCACGTCTCGTCACAGTCCCGGCCCCGAACCGAACAATCCGTCATACAAAATATTCAATAGAAATGACGCCGGTACCCACATTGGTACTATGATAAGCCGGAACCATGTTTACGGGGATGAAATTTATATCAATGAATTCTGCTTCACTTACTAATGATTGTGCAATGATTTTTATGCGGTGCAAGACGTTATTTTTTATGTAATTTCCATTTAAAATATGCCCAATTGTTAAAGGCCACCGCCATTATTCGCCATTTTTTACCATGAAACAACAAGAAATGACAGGAAGGACAACTGTTTCTTATGGCAGAGAACTACAAGAAGGGTAATTTTAACCAGTGTTGCCATAGTTTTTCAAAATTATGTTTTCTAATGAAAAATAAAAATTTACCTTCAAATTGGACATTAAAATAACTTTATTATTGGTGTGTAATCATTTTATTATTATAATAAGAGTAAGTAATAAGAATATAATTAAAAATTAATTTTTTTTATTTTTCATAAGAAAACATGATAATAAACGTAAAGAAACGTAACCTAAGACGTAACCTAAGAAGAAACCAAACCTAACCTGACCCTTGTAAAAAAGCTATAATTTTCAGTTAAAAGTGGGTAATAATTTTATTATTACCCGTTTTCTTTGTCAAGTCTCAGGATTTGGCCTAGGTAGATATATTCCTGGATTTGTTCTATCTCACTGCCGTTTATAGTTATATTTCTGGGGTCTTCTGTGTTTGTCATTATTTTTGTTTTTTTCATATTCATTTTTAGGTCAACGTATTGGGAGCTGGCTGCTAGTTCCCCCAACATAATTTGCAGTTCCTCGAATGTGCTCGCTATAATCACTATGTCGTCAGCGAATCTGAGGTGGTTTAACTTGTTGCCATTAACGTTAATGCCATAGGTTGACCAATTTGTAGTTTTGAAGACGTCTTCTAGGGCTAGGTTGAAAAGCTTTGGCGATATTACGTCTCCTTGTCTCACTCCTCTCTTAATGGGGATGGGATTTGTATTTTCGTCTAGTTGTACTATCATAGTTGCATTTTCATATATATTATGTATTAGTTGCCTATATCTCGACACTATTCTACAATTATTAATAGCTTGTTCTATGGCCCACATCTCGATACTATCAAACGCCTTTTCATAGTCGACGAAGGCAAGAAATACGGGTAGTTGGTATTCATTTGCCTTCTCTATTAATGTTCTCATTGTCAGCAGATGGTCTGATGTACTATATCATTTGCGGAAGTCAGCCTGTTCAACCGGTTGGTAATTATCCATTTTGTAGGTTAACCGGTTATTAATAATTCTCATAAATAGTTTGTATACTTGACTGAGCAACGATAGAGGTCTATAATTCTGTGGATCACATTTGTGACCTTTTTTGTGTAAGAGTATTACTAGACTCTCGTTCCAGTCTTTAGGGATCTGGTTATTATGGAGACATCTATTAAATAGCTCTGTTAATACAGGGATTGTTAATGTCTTGCTTGTTTTTAAGAGCTCGGCAATTATACCGTCGTGTCCTGGAGCTTTATTATTTTTTAATTCATTTAAAGCTCTTTCTATTTCGTATCCCTTTATATTTGGTAGTACTTCTGATCCCACGTTTTTTATTTTTCTTTTGACGTTCTCCTTTGTTGTTTCATTAGGCTGTCCTTGCGAGCTGTACAAGGATGTGTAGAAGTCTTCGACAATATTTGTTATTTTATATTTGTCCTTCTCTACCTTATTGTTGGCGTCTTTGATTTTGATGATTTTTTGAACTCCCACTGCGGGTCTTGGACATTTTAAGCCTCTGTTGTTTTCAATGACTCGCTCTATTAAGTTCTCGTTCCATTTTTGTATGTCGCGTTTTAGTTCTTTTCTAATTGTTTTATTAAGTTCTCTATATTCTTGAGTATGGCGTTTGTTTTGCGCTAGTAGTTGTCTTCTTTCCGTCATTAGCTGTTTAGTTTTATTGCTTATTTTGTCTTCTTTAGTCCTTGTTTTCTTTACGACCTGTAGTCCTGCTGCGAGAAGGTTTTTATTTTGGTTTTTATTAATCTCGTCAATTTGATCTTGATTATGTGAAGGATCAGATTCGAACTTATCCGCTAAGACCTCTCGGAATTGCTCTTCATTTGTTCTTAGTTTAAAGGCATCTATCCTCGTTGTTTTTTTAAAAATCCTTTTTCTCTCTTCTTTCATGTTAATATTTATTTTTGCTCTGACTATACGGTGGTCACTGCCCTTTGTTACGTTGTTTATTGTTGTGACGTCTTCAAATATTCCTTTGTTAAACAAGTACATAACCTCACAAATCATATGTCTGTGTTATGTGATTCCTTCTAAAACATGGCGCGCGTGCTGAAAAACTTCAAAGGCGGCATCTGCGGGAGGATATAACCCGGATATCTGTTTTTCAATCAACAACCTCGAAGACCGATGTACCAAAGAGTATATGGCCCCATACCAAAAACTTAGCATAGACCAATTTGTATAAATATCTTCCCAATTGTCAGACCACAAGCTATTCCATTCAGAAGGAGATTTAACTTCAAAAAAGCAAACTGGCAAAAGTATGCAGACATGCTAGATTCTGAACTACTACGCCTTGAACCAAAAGTAGAGAACTACGAAAAATTCGTAGAGGTACTCAAAAATGTGTCTAGAAAAACTATCCCTAGAGGATGTAGACAACAATATGTTCCCGGGATGTCCAGCAAGTCCAAAGAACTAATGAGAACATACGAAACCCTCTATTCCACTGACCCTTTTAGCCAAGAAACGGTTGACTGCGGAGCAGTACTACTCCAACAGCTAAGTAAAGCCAGACAGGAAAAGTGGATTGAGACCCTGAAAAAATGGACATGACACATAGTAGCAAAATAGCATGGAACCTTGTAAAAAACTCAGCGGTGATCCAAAAGAACATAAATCAGCCTTGCAAGGTTACAGCAAACCAAGTCGCTGCTCAACTCCTTACGAATGGAAGAACTATTAACTGATATAAGGACCCAAACACTAGGAGAAGATTGGATTCGGGGACAAAACAACCTAGGAACTCCTTTTACACTAAAAGAACTCCACGACGGTCTGAACAGGTTAAAAAAATGGGAAAGCTGCAGGTGTGGATGATATATGCAGTGAACAAATAAAGCATTTAGGCCAAGGAGCAAAAAACTGGATCTTGCAATTTTATAAACACGTGCTGAAAAACCTGCAAAATTCCAAAATCATGGAGAAAATCTAAAGTAATAGCCTTGTTAAAACCAGGAAAGGATCCAGAAAACCCCAGTAGCTACAGACCTATTTCGCTATTGTGTCACCTTTTTAAACTATACGAGAGACTGATACTCGCCAGAATAGAAAAAAATGTCGACAAGCAATTCATCCCACAATAAAGAGGATTCAGACCTGGCAAATCTTGCACCGGTCAAGTCCTCGCATTAACAGAACACATTGAAGAGGGCTTTGAAGAAAAACTTATAACAGGGGCTGCTTTTGTAGATCTGGCAGCAGCCTATGACATAGTAAGGCACAAAACATTGCTCCGCAAATTATACGACACTCTCAATGACCACCATCTGGGAATTGTCTTATATTCTGTATTGCAAAATAGACGTTTCTTCGTTATGCTGGAGGGTAAAGTAAGTAGGTGGAGAGTTCAAAAGAACGGCCTCCCACAGGGAAGTGTTTTAGCACCAATGCTCTTCAATATATACACAAACGACCAACCTACTCCGACCGAAACCAAGCTCTATGCTGACGATCTTGCAATATGTGCTCAAGGAAATGGTTTTAAAGAAGTGGAGGAGAAACTCAAAACTGCCTTAAAAACAATGACAGCGTACTACCTGCAGAAGTCTCTGAGACCCAATCCCTCTAAAACCCAAGTCTGCGCTTCCACCTTCGCACAAAGGAAGCCAAGCGAAAACTCCAAATTGTGTGGAATGGTAATACATTAAAACACACAAACCAACCTATATATCTAAACATTAACTGCAATTAATCTCTAAAGAAACAAATATTTAGTCGTTCTTAAGGAATTTAACAAGGCAGCTTGTGTGAAGCGACAAGAACACACATTTAAGACAAAACATTTAACTTTGGCAAATCTGTTATAACACGAAAACGTTTAATCCCGTTGTCAACAAGCTGAATTTTGAAGAGAATATTAATTTTGGGACCCCAAAAAAGATGCAAAAAAAGTTTAGCACTTTTACCCCCGGGCTTCTCCCTAAAATCCGCCTCACAGGGGGGTCAAAACACAAAAAAATCGATTTAACAAGAATCTGTACATCGTAGAAAAAATGTTCATTCAATTTTCAATAAACTTTGTATCAGTTCGACGGTAAAAATTCGATATCTTTCGATTCGATATCGAATCTAACTCGATAGCATAAGTACATTCCAATTTATTTAACTGCAAAGTTTCACGACTCATTGTCATTTGGGGAA